GCCTCGGGCGGTCGGGCTGGCGCTGGGTGCGCTGGGGTTGGTTTGGGGTATGTACCTGGCTCCAGTTCTCCCTCCCTCCCCCCCTTTTCGCTCCTGTGCTCCCCTCTCTCTGCTCTTTAGGAAGGCAAGGGTTAAACTTTAGCTTTTAATATTTATTATGCCGCTCTTTTAAAGTAAGAAACGTCTGGGTTAGGAGGTGTTGTCTGCTGCTGGGGAGGGATGCTTGTCACTCACATCGCAGTGCTGCATGGACTGCCAGAATCGCAGAATGTTCTGAGTTGCAAGGGACTCTCAGTGCCATCAGTCCAGCTGCTGGCTCTGCACAGGACAGCCCCAAGAATCACACCTCGTGCTGAGAGTTGCCCAAACTCTTCGTGAACTCTGCTGGGCTCAGGGCTGTGACCCCCAAAATCTGGAATGTTGCTGCTATGGGAGACTGCGAATTACACAGTTCCACGCAGCTTTAATCAGATCTTTATTAGAAAAGTTACCGTATTCTTGCATTGGAGATGTTTTCCATTTAATGAAATCGTCTTGTTTGTTTCACAAGTTGTTTTCAAACGGGGGAACTGTGTCCTTACATTCCTCAAGGCTGCAAAAAGTTCCTGGTAGGCTGTGGCCTCTGCATCCATCCCTGTGTAAGTAGGCAGGGGGTGCTAAGCTTATTGCACTTTTTGGTTAGATGAAGGAAGATGTTTCTCTTGTGGGGCAAGCTGCTTTTTATAATTTTCTGGAATTAATTAGAATGAAGCGTTAAAAAAAGAATGAAAAAAAAAATCCCCCTTCCATGAAAAGCTTTTGTCTCCTGTTTCTGTTGACAGGTTGTTTTCCAGACACTTCTTTTTTTTTTTTTTTTTGCAAGTGCTTAGTGTCTTGCATTGGAAGACAACGGCTAGGAACTGAATTCATTGCTCATCCAAGACACGTTCTTGTAACTAGAGTTTGGATTTCTGCCCGAGCCTAGGCTTTGCAAGATTTGTTTTAAATAAGTGCCACACCTCCCAGAGAAGGAGGGAAAACACAGTGAAGGGGAGTTGGGCTTCACATCAAAAAGTTCTCAGGGAACTTAAAACTTCAGTTCCTACAAATTACAGACAATAAATTGACTTAAAGGTTTATGGAACAGATGTGCTTGTTAGTAAGTGCTGTGGAGGGCAGATACAGCACAGTCTGTAGATCTACTTCTTTCCCTCATTTAGAAACGTTGAACTTGGCAAGTATGAGTCCCTTGAATTCTTCTTTTCAGCTTAACCTCATTAGGGCATGACCATCAGTGTCAGGTTTTGTCAGTGATGCCTGAACTCTGAACTGAACTCTGTTCTTGTTGCTATCACATAGGAACCTTGCTTTCTAAGAAACTACTACTAGACAGATTGCTTTTAGTAATTCCTGAAAACTTGTTCTTTGAGAAAGATGAATTGTGTTTTATCACAGCCGTTCCTGTTTAGAAGTCAGTGTCTCACTTAGGCCTCTTATTAGTTTTGGAGTGTGGTGGATGTGAGTCAGAGTGGAAAAACGTTCTAAAATTAGACATGCATTGTTAAGAATTTTATTAAATGAATTGCATCAGTGTCTTTTTACATTACTGTTTTAATGGACAATTCTCTGATTTTCTGTATCATTAGTTGACTAAAAAAGGGCTGAAGAAGCAAGAAACTTTCCAGCATTTTTTTGTTTATGAACATGCTAGAAGGTAAACTGGCATGCTTGTAGGTGAAGCGCTCTGCTCAATTACAGCCTCTTTGTTCTGCTACCTGTACCAGCAGAGCACCAGGACTGTGTTTTCTCCCAAGGAGAACAGGTGTATTATGAAGCTTCAGGACTGAAGCAGAGCCATTATTTGAAAAGCATCCCACTTTTGAGATTAATATGTTAATGGCTAAAATCATGACCCCACACTGAGCTGAGTACAAACAGATGTCTGTGCTGAGCATGCTGCAGGAGCAGGGCCCAGGCTGCCTTTTGGCCTCTGTGCTCTGGGAATTATTATTTCTTTCATTACCTCTGTGTTAAATGAGGACAGTAAGTGTGTTGTATTCTTTTTTTAATGAAAACCTTACGCAGCATATCTAGGAAAGAGTTTAATTCTCTGATTCACCTGGCATAGTTATAGTTTGAAATGTCAGAAGGTAGGATGAGGAGTCATCCCTTTGCAGGGAAATGAGTTGTGTGAGATGTGCACACCTGTCTTAACAGGTGAACAACCATAACAAGCACTTTCTTTTCCTTTTAA